GATTCTCTCGTCGTAAACGACTCGCTTCGAGCCTACTCGACTATTTATTTGACGCTTCGCGAGGTCGACTCGAAAGGTGTTACTTCTCGGTCAAGTTAAAATATGACTTCAACCTCGAGCCTCTCAAGCTGACAACATGTCGGTGTCATATTTAATGCTTGGCACTTAGCAGACACATCATACATTTAGCCCCGGTAGCTTTCATTACTAATCGGACCATGTTAGCACTGTCATACATCCGATCACTTCACATTAAATGCTGATGTGATCTCTCTTCCACTCGCCGACTACTCGACTATTTATTCGACACTTTGCAAGTTCGACCTGAAAGGCGTTACTTCTCAGTCTAGTTAAAAGACGACTTCAGCCTCGAGCCTCTCCCGCCGACAGCCCGTCAGTGTCACGTTTAATGCTTGGCAGGCGCATCATACCTCTAGCCCAATAGCTTTCATGACTCATCGGGCCATGTTAGCGCCATCATACCTCTGATCACTTCACACTAAATGTTGATGTGATCTCTTTTCCACATGCCGACCGGCACGTGTAAAGTAGGTGCTGACGCAGCCGCCAACTCATACTTATTTATCGTCATTCTGTGCTCAGACGAAATGACCGTTCTACCCTTTCACCACCACTACAAATAGAGGTGCTATTCTTAACATGAAAAGATTCTTTTCCCCTAGCAATTTCTGAGCAGACTATTTTTCAAAGCAATATCTGAAAAATATATTGCACTACACTAAAGAACTCATACAGTTCTTCATTTTTCCACTCAATGTCGTCAGCTGATTTGATCGTCGGAGGTACAACGGTGGAACTAAGCCCCATCCTCTCACGAGTTGCTATTTGTGCAAACTGAAACTACTCAACTCAAAACCAAATATTAGGAAAAGTGAGCGGCCTTAATCAACCTCACCCCAACACTGTTTGATTATTTAACATCAACGTATTCTTCTATACGATGCAGATTGAAGATTAAAAATAATTATGGATGTATTTTAATCTTCACTCATAATTTTAATGAAATTTGGCTCCCTAGTTTGCCTATGCGTGTAGCTTCTAGGCAAGAGAACGAAATTTGTCATGGTCATTGAGGATGGGGGTTCTTATTCAACAGAAATGCCCTGCCCATGTCCAACGCAATGCAAGACAAAATCTCTGTCGAGCTTTAAATTTCACCTCTTATTTATAATTAAAAAACATGAAAATGAGTTGAAATCATAATATATTTTTGTTTGGCCGTATCCATGGAGTACGGACAACCTAAATTAATACGAGCTTAACTGGCATCCAATTGTTTTTTCCCTTCCTTTTTTGGCATTATTTCTCACAATATTTGACTTGCCTAAGAATGGATTAGATAACTGGAGTTGTGTGTTCTAATTATTATATAGTTGTGTCATTATCTATACTTACGTGAGATTTGCTATCCAGCAATTGCAGCGTGAGAATTTATTTACGGAACTTCCTTGATTAGAGGCGTTTAA